TATGTAACCACACACATAGTTTTTGGTTGTTATGAATTTTGTTCCAAAATTGTATACCTTATAGCATTGACCAAAATGGTCCCTTTTTCTTGCATATTTCTGAGTGTCTTCATTTACCTTCATTTACTTATGAAGTATTTAAGCCATATTTACTTACATTAAATATGGCTTAAGTTGTGCAGACTTCACCCATGTTTAGTGTTGCCTTTCCTATCACCAAAAATAACAAGCGTCTACCACTAGAAAATTATTCCCCTTCCCTTCCGCTCCCATCTCTGGTAACCATCAAAGAATGTTGCTTTCTGTGTGTAACCTATTCCTGACTTTTTATGATAGTAGGACCATATAATATTTGTCCTATTTTGATTGACTTGTTTCACTCAGCATAATGTTCTCCAGATTCATCCATGTTGTGTTTCCCGAACTCCTCATTATTCTTTATAGTTGCATAGCATTCCATTGTATGCATTTGTTTATCCATTCATCTGTTGATGGACACTTAGGTTGTTTCCATCTTTTTGCTATTGTGAATAATGTTGCAATTAACATAGGTGTACACATGTCTGTTCATGTCACTGCTGTTAGATCTCTAGGGTATATACCTAGCAGTGGTATTGCTGGATCATAAGGTATTTCTGTTTTTAGCTTTTTGAAGACGTGCCATACTGTTTTCCATAGTGGTTGTACCGTTTTATATCTCACCAATCTTGTGTAAGAGTTCCAGTCTTCCCACAACCTCGCTGGCATTCATTGTTTTCCGTTTTTTTTTTAATCAGTGGTATTTTTGCAGGGTTCAGATGGTATCTCGTAGTTTTGATTTTCATCTCTCTAATGGCTAACGATCGCTAGCATCTTTTCGTGTCTTTGTTGGCCACCTGAATTTCCTCTTTGATGAAGTGTCTCTTTATGTCCTTTGCCCATTTTTTTGACTGGATTGTTTGTATTTTTGTTGTTGAGTTGTTGAAGTTTTCCATATATTTTAGAGATTAGATGCTTGTCAGATATGTTGCTGCCAAAGATTTTTTTCCCATTCTGTGTGTTCTCTTTTTACTCTTTTCTTAAAGACTTTTGATGAGCATATATAAAAATGGTATGGGGGAGGTATCAGACCTCCTCCAACCCCATAAGCGGGAAGGAGAACCAAGATCAACAGCCCAAGGCTTATTCCTATGAGGTGGAGGTCAGACATAACCTCCTCTCTCTGCCATCTTTACTAATTCTGACACCAACCGTCCCTAGCACAGCACTCCCTACATCTCTGCTGGGTTCGATAATTCATTGCAGGTGGCCACACAGAACTCACAGACCATACTTACAATTTTGGGGTTTATTAGGGAAGTAACAGTTACAGTTCAGGCTCAGGAACACTCAGAATACAGTTCTTCCATCAGGAAAGCCTTTTCCCAGCTGTGCTTGCAGGCACACCTCTCCCTGGCCCTCTGTCTGCCCAAAGGCACTCAGCTTTCTCTCTCCATGGGCTGGGAAACCCACTCCACCGTCTCTTGTTGTTGGGTCTCTCCTGCTGCCCTCTCCTTTCTTGGTGGTGGTAGTCTCCTTCTCTCTGCTCTGGAATTGGCTCTCTTTTAAGGCAAAACTTAACCAGTCTCCTTGGTAGGGCACAATTACCCTATCATACAGTCTTGCCCAATCACCTGGGTAGGAGTTACAAGACCATGGCTAGAAAGGCCACCCAAAAGTAATCAGTCAGTAATCAATCACACCACAGCATAAGTATTTAATATTTAGGAGGTTCCAGTTATCTCATTTGTCTTTTGTTGTTCATGCATTTGTGGTTGTGTTTGATAGACTATTTATGTGGAAAATTAGGTACCCCTATATGGTCTCTGTAGGCACCATGGTGACGCAGTGGTTAAGCACTTGGCTGCTAACCAAAAGGTCGGCGGTTCAAACCCACCAGTCACTCTATGGGAGAAAGATGTGGCAGTTGGCTTCCATAAAGATTTACAGCCTTGGAAACCCTATAGGGCAATTCTGCAAGGTCACTGTGAGTTGGAAATGACTCAATGGCAGTAGGTTTAGTTTTTGGTCTGATAGTGTCACTATGACTTGGAATCAACTCAACAGTAACAGGTTTGGTTTAGTTTTGTCCCTATGTTATCTTCCAGGAACTTAAAAACTTCAGCATTTAGGGCTTTGATTCATTTTGAGTTAGTTTTTATGTATGTTGTGAGGTATGGATCCTGTTTCATTTTTCTGCACATGGATATCCAGTCTTGCCAGCACCATTTGTTAATCTTATCCACTGAATGGACTTTGACCCTTTATTGAAGACCAGCTGCCTGTAGACGGATAGGTTTACTTCTTTGTTCTCAATTCTATTCCATTGGTCTTTGTGTCTGTCATTGAACCAGTACTAGGCTGTTTGATCACCATGGCTGTATAGTAAGTTGTGAGATCAGGAAGTGTGAAGCCTCCTACTTTGTTCTTCTTCTTCAGTATTGCTTTAGCTATTTGGGACCTCTTTCCATAGGGACCCCTGGTGGCGCAGTGGTTAAAATGCTCAGCTGCTAACCGAAAGGTCGGCAGTTCAAACCTACCAGCTGCTCCACAGGAGATGTAGCAGTCTGCTTCTGTAAAGATTTACAGCCTTGGAAACCCTGTGGGGCAGTTCTCCTCTGTCCTCTAGGGTATCTATGAGTCAGAATCGACTCGACAGCAGTGGGTTTTCCTTTCCGTATAAAGTTAGTTTTTCCATTTCATTAAAGAGTGTTGTTGAGATTGGATTGGATTGTGTTATATCAATAGATTGTTTTGGGTAATATTGACATTTTCACAGTGTTAAGCCTTCCAATCCATGAGCATGAATGTTTTTCCATTTATGTGGGTCTCTCTTGGTTTCTTGCAGTAGTGTTTTATCATTTTTCTTGTATAAATCTTTTACTTCCCTGGTTAGGTTTATTCCTAGGTGTTTTATCCTTTTGAGGGCTGTTGTAAATGGTATTGATTTCTTGCTTTCCTTTTCGAAGTTCTCCTTATTAGTGTGGAAGAACTGAACTGATTTTTGTATGTTGATCTTGTACCCTGTCACTTTGCTGAATCCTTGTGTTAGTTCCAGTAACTTTCTTGTGGAGTCGCTGGGATTTTCTATGTATAGGATCATGTCATCTGCGAATAGGGGTAGTTTTACTTCTTTCTTTCCTATTTGGATACTCTTTATTTCTGTTTCTTGCCTTATTTTTCTGGCTAGGACTTCCAGTTCAATATTGAATAAGAGTGGTGATAAAGGGCATCCTTGTCTCTTTCTCGTTTTCAAGGAGAATGCTCTCAATCTTTCTCCATTGAGAATAATTTTGGCTATTGATTTTGCATATATGTTCTTAATTATGTTGAGGAATTTCTCTTCTATTCCTATTTTGTTGAGAGTTTTTATCAAGAAAGGATGTTAGATTTTATCAAATGCCATTTCTGCATCCACTGAGATGATCATGGGATTCTTTTCCTTTGTTTTATTTATGTGGTGAATTACACTGATTGATTTTCTAATGTGCACAACTCTTACATTCCTGGTAGAATCCCAGTTGATCATGATGCAGTATTTTTTTTTTTTTTT